GTGGAGGGTGTGCCGGACTCCGGGGGTCACCGTCACTCCCTCCCGGCAGGTCTTCAGAGCCCCATCATCTCCATCGAGCCCCACAGCGTGCTGGTGCGCGGAGGGGAAGAGGTTTCCTTCAGCTGTCACATCCACAAAGGCACCCCGCCCCTGGAGATCACCTGGAAGCTGCCCAACGACCAGCTGCTAGGTGAGTTTGGGGGGGCTGCCGGGTGAGCAGATGGGTCAGGTGGTTTGGGGGTGCTGGTTACCCCTCCCGGTCATTCCTTCGGTCTCCTCTGCAGATAACGTGAGGATCAGCCCTAACGGCTCTGCCATCACCATCTCCAACGCCCGTCCGGAAAACCACGGGCCCTACCGCTGCGTGGTCTCCAACCGGTTTGGGATTGCCAACAGCCTGGTCAACGTCATGGTCCAAGGTAAGGGACAATGCCGAGGGTCTCTCTAGGACGACCAGGGCCAGGAGCCCTTCTGTTCTCTCCCAACCGAGGCTAAAGTCGGACTCTTGACGGAACGCCAGGGCGGAGGGTCTGCCGAAGGCCCCGGGTGAACCTGGGCGTTGGTCTCTCTCTCTCTCCTCCTAGGGCTGCCTACCATCTCAGTGGTGCCTAAGGGCCCCCTGCAGCTCAAGGTGGGCAAGTCCATCAGCGTGGACTGCCTGGCGGCCGGAGACCCCCGGGCTGTAGTGCGCTGGACCAAGCTGGGAGCCTGGAGGAAGCTGGAGAACCAGAGGCTGCTACCGCTGGAGAGCCGAGCTGTGCTGCAGGTGGGCAAGGGAGGAGTCTAAGGGCCGGGATCCCAGGCCTTCCAGCAGCCGTACCTTCCCTTGCTGGCTGGGGCTGGTGGAAGTCTGTGGGAGTTGCTCTGGGCACCAGACCTAGCCTGGTGGGTATATAAAGCCTCCAGCATCAGGAGCACGGTATCCTAGAGTAACAGTTGCTGGGAATGGAATGGAAGGAATTGAGAGCTGGTGAGGCTGCAGTTAAATTACCTGTCCTGGCAAGTTCTCACTTTTAGACCCCAATCCCTCTAGGGCAGAGGCCCCCGACCTTTTGGCACCGGGGACCGGTTCCATGGAGAGAGGTTTTTCCGCGGACCTTAGAGTGCGTGGTTTTGTGTGCTGCCTGCATCCCACAGATGGGGCTTTGCTTGTTTGTGCGGACCGGTTGCTGGCCTGCTGCGGCCCGGTACCGGTCCACGGACCAGGGGTTGGGGACCCCTGCTCTAGGGAGCCCCCGCTGCCGGTCCTTATTCCACGCTCAAGAGAAAACGGCAGCCGATGGACACCCCGAAGATGTCTTAATTCCTCAGTCTGAGTGGGAATCAGGCTGAGGGTACTGTGTGGGCTTCCCTCCCTCCTCAGATCTCCTCCGCAAAGCTGGGGGATGCCGGCACCTACGTGTGCGTGGCCCAGAACTCCGTGGGCACCACAGAGGCCCAGGTGGACGTGAGCGTGGAGGCGGTGCACGGCAGGAGAGGAGTCCCCGAGATCCACGTGACTCCGACCCAGACAGTGCAGGCCGGACAGACGGCTCGGCTCCATTGCTCTGCCACCGGTGCGTCGAGGATGCGTGTGTGTGCGTGAGGGATATTTGGCCCTTACTAGTCCCTCGAGATGACAAGCCTCTCTGGGGGAGGGGGGACCCCGGGCCAAGCCAATCTGGGTCGCTGGCTGGCCCAGGCTGACCGCTGCTTCCTTTGCTGGGATCGGCAGGTGACCCGGCACCCACCATCCAGTGGTCCAAGCTGCGGGCTCCGTTGCCCTGGCAGCATCAAGTGGTGAACGATACTCTCATCATCCCCCGGGTGGCCCAGCAGGACTCGGGCCAGTACATCTGCAACGCCAGCAACTCTGCGGGGTTCACCGAAGCCTTCGTGGTGCTGGACGTGGAGAGTGAGTGTGCCAACAGGAGGAGGAGGAGGAGGAGGAAGGATGGGGCTTAGGCACGGGAGCTGTGCTGCTCTCTGGATGGCCTTAGGCTGAGAAGAAGGATGCAAAAGCAGAAAGAATGCCAGGCACCCCACTTGGACCCAGGACTGGCTAACCCCATGGAGCAGAGCTCAGTGCTGTCAAAGCAATAATATCCAAGTGCCTTCCTTGGGGGGTTGGGGTCCAGGCTTCCAAGCTCTTTCTCCCTCCCCCCCCTCTCTCTCTGCCCAGTACCACCCTACGCCACCAGTCTTCCCAACCGAGCAGTGGTGCAGGAGGGCGAGGCGGTGCAGCTGCAGTGCCTGGCCCACGGCACGCCCCCCCTGCGCTACCAGTGGACCAAGGTGAACGGCAGCCTCCCCGGACGGGCTACGGTACGAGACGGGGTGCTGCACTTCAGCCAGGCCGGGCACCGGGATTCAGGCACCTACCGCTGCCACGTCAGCAACCGGGTGGGCTCCGCTGAGGCTTTGGCCCAGGTCTATGTGCAAGGTGAGTGGGCATCCGGGGAGGGGGGGGAGATTCCGCCAAGGGCCCAACCCTGACCTGTAACTCTCTCGAATTGGGAGATTAAAAAGTAGGCTGCTGGTATAAGAGAAACCCCAAGGGTTGTGTGGGTCAATTTTAGGATTACAAAGACTCTGGAAAGCTGCCTTTGGGCCCGATGCATCTAGGTGTTATTGCGTGTCCAGATCTGCAGATAAATTTAATAATAAATAATAAAGTAAACTCTCTTGCATTTGCGTTGACCTGTGTTGTCGTCTTCTTCTTCCTCTTCCTCTTCCTCTCCTCCTCCTTCTCCCCTCCTCCTCCTCCTCCCTCCCTCCTCCTCCTCCTCCTCCTCTTCTTCTTCTTCTTCTTCT